ATACGTATGGCACAAATAATTATCAACTGTTATCCAATATATTTTTATTATGAGTTTTTCTGCAATATTCTATTTTCAATATTAAATTTTGTAGGTATTTGCAAATAAAAATTATTATTAAAATAGTTTTCAGAAATAATAATAAATAAATGTAAAATAGACGTTAAGTTCAATTCACACAATAAGTTTTAAGTTACAACATTATTTCTATTACACTCTGTTTAACTTGTTTTATTTGATATCAATTGTTATTAGTTAAGAGTAATAATTCAATAATAATATTGAATTATATGTTATATAATTAAAAACAATATAACAGTGCAAATTATGATTTATTAATACAATATTTGTAGATGAAAAAGTATAAATAAAAATATTCATATAAATATTAAATATAATCAAATATAAATATCAAATTAATAGCTAAAAATATATTAAACTATAATTCTTTTAAATTTAATTTAATACTTTTTCAATCCAGTATAGAATATTCTAAAGATAATTATCATCTTGAAATAAAAGTTACTAACAGCTATGCTTCCATTCCTTTAAAAGATTCATTTCTGCATAGAATAAAGTACTGTGAAGTAAGATAGTGACATACTTGCAAGCTGAAGAAATAAATTTATTATTTTTGAGCAAACTGCTCGACCAAGATTTATTATTATATTTATGATAAAAGTTACCGTAGTAAAATTTTCCACTGATACATAATATATACCACCCAAAACAAGTTTGCAAGATTTTATACTCCTTTGCATTATAAATAATAACAATTTTTGTGTTTTTATAGGCGCTGCATACCATTGTGTATTGTATCTAAAAATTTTTGTAATATACTTTATGTTAAAAAAATGTTAAAAAAGAAAAAACTGTTCAACTCTTGACATTTCATGATTTTAAAACATGATTAATGTAGAAGTATCTTTATAAATTTAAAAGTTGTTTATTAAATTTAATAATTCTTCGTATTTGTTGAAGTAATCATATGTACTTGTAAATTTTTATATGATTTAAAAATTATTTTAAAATACTAAACTACATAAAATACTAAATTACATTAATAAAAATATTTGAATTATTAACAATACTCACACTTCATTATAAATCTCAGTACTGTTATCGATTATCTTCTGTCCTAAATAATTACATATAAACATATAGCAAAAGTGACCAGATACAAATATCACAAATGATGCAAGATTTTTTTTTTTGATCTGGTAATATTGCAACTTGAAAAAGCTGGAAATGCATCAAATAAATTTATTTCTGTATATGTTTTACATCTGTATTCCTTATAACGTTAATATTGTATTGAAGTAAACACACGTATATATGATAAAAGTATTTTAATTAATATATGGTAATAGATATGACACTAAAATCATGAATTTTTATTTTTTACTTACACGGAATAAATTTAGACTTAAAGAAATTACATCCAAAATCATTAGAATAAAATAGGATAACGAAAATGTAGATGACAAATATTCAAAAAACCTTTAGGAATAAAAAAATTTTAATATACTATTAAAAATATTTTTTATAAGATTTATATAAGATTTTTATAAGACAATATAATTTTTTCTTACTTTATTTCATAGAATATTTATTTAGTAAAAATGAATAAAAAGATTAAATTTGTTTAATTTCTGTTAAAACATTTTTCAAAATAATTAGAAAAAGACAAAATTGTACAAAGAACAATGCTAACATTATTAATAAAAGTAGCAAGATACTGTCTCAATAGTTCTTTGATGAATCTCTATAGCGTCAATTATTTTG